ACTCGGCAAAAGCCTCTCTTTGGTTCCCTCCTCCTCCCCCTCGTTCCACAGCCTGCATGACGCTGCCGCCCAGGCTGAGAGCTGCCGCTGAAACAAGTTTGGGGAGGTCCTTTGCAGGCAGCCAGTTCTAGCCGCCTGCAAAGGACTTCCCCACGTTTGCTTTGAAAGAAACCTCTGCGCGGGAGTTAGAAACCTCTGCGCGGGGGTTTCTTGCCATGTGCGCGGCCGCACGGCCGTGCACCTTAGAGGGAACAGTGCACTGCATTGCTAGCCAGTAAAGGCCTGAAAGATGAAAGAATAATGACATGGCCCCTTTCCTCACCCTACTTAAGCCCTATTAAGAACTTGTGGGCCCTTCTTAAATGGGAGATTTACAGTGAATGAAAACAGTACACCTCTCTGAACAGTGGTTGCCACTGCACAAAAAAATGATTGTCAACAAATCAAGAAACTGACAGACTCCATGAATGGAAATCTTATAATTGTTATTGAAAAGAAGGGTGGCTGTATTGATTTTTTTTTTTGAAATATTAGAAATGTTTATTTGTACATTTTGAGTTGTTTCTTTATTATTCTCACTTTAACAGATGCAAATAAACAAATGAGATGGGCAAATTTTCATTTTTATTTAGATGCGCAATAGTTCTGCACACCAATAGTTGCCCAATAATTGTGCACACATCAATATTCTCCTATGAAAGTCAAAATCTTTTCTTCTTCTTTCTTAAATATTCAGGTTTGGTGTTTATTAACATTTTGGATTGACCGAGAGCACTGTAGTTGTTCAATAATAAAATTAATCCTCCAAAATACAACTTGCCTAATAATTGTGCACAGTGTATATACAGTATGGGGGTGTTTGTGTATAACACACACACACACACACACACACACACATCCTCTAAAGACCTTCTCATTATCTTGATCATTAAAAGACACTGGAAGAAGCACTCCCTCTCATAGTAAGTATGCTTGGCTCCATCTTTGTTTTTCAGTGCTTTTTTTAGGATACCTTTATTATGACAGAATATATTTCTTTGCTTTTCCATATAGGTTCTATGACATTTTAGAAACTGTTTTGGATTTTTCAAATGAAAAGTATAGTAATAAAGGGTCAAACTAGTAAAAAATGAAAATAATCTAGGCCAGGCATCCTCAAACTACACCCCGCATCTGGGCCGCCAATACAAAGTATCCAGCTATGGAGTGGTAGGATGAAAAGCAGCTGCCAGCTTGTAAAGTAGTGCTTTCAAAGTCTTTAAAAACAGCCTTTCAGATGTTTTTCACAGCCATGTAATCGAGGGCCAGTGGGTGGGTAGGGAAGTAACTAAAGTCGCACTTTAAAAGTGGGTGGGTGGGTAGGAGACATGTCTCCACATCTCCTAGCTTTTCAAAATCAGCTGAAGTTGACTAACACTAATTCAAATGCAACCGCAGTATAATGACTGAAGGAGAATTCATCCACTGATTTGATTCTTCCCATATATAAAGTACATCTACCAAATTGGTTGCTGAACAATTTTGGTAGATATTCATGTGTGCATATACACATGCACGAGTGTGGCAAAAAGCAGTTTGTGAATTCTTCTCCAGGCTTAAAAGACCTTTTAGCCCTGTAATCCCAAATAAGTAGGCCCACAGTTCCCATTGAATTAGTAGTATATTTATGTTGGTTAAAATTGTTCTTCATTTTAAATATTGTATTATTTCATGTTTCTTTGCACTACAAATTAAGCAAGTGGCAAGAAAGTTTGCACTCTTTTTCCCTTGTGGGGTGGTCTTAAGGAAATAGATTCCTTGGGTTGAGCAAGTACAGCAAGAACAAGGGCAAAATGGACTGCTAAATTGACCATTCCTGCCCAGTCACGTGACAACCTAGCCACACCCACTTAGCTGGTCCGCCCGTCCAACAGTGTGAGGGACCATGAATCAGCCCCCTGTTCAAAAAGTTTGAGGACCCCCTGATCTAGGCTGTAGACATCCCAGTATTCTCGTTATAATAGATTTGTCCACTCTTGTACAAGAAGGAATTCAAACAGACTTTATAATATTCTAAGAGATAATAAAAGCACATGCATCTCCTTGTTTTATTAAAGCTACTTTACTTCTTAAGCAGAAATTGGAAAATTGCAATCCCATGTTTACTAAAGCCCTAAAGCCAAATTCACATAATACAGTACAATTGTGATTAACTATTACAAAGATTTATCCAAACTGTTAGCTTGGTTAGTTCATATACTTACATTTCCTCTGCTGAGGAACACAGTGACTTGACCTTCATCCCGAATCTCAGAAAACATGGGTGCTCCTACCAGCAGGTCAGAAAGTCCATCAGAATTCAGATCTACTGCACATAAGGAGGAGCCAAAGTAAGAGCCCATCTGCAACCAAATTGAGTCACAACAAAACATTCAGTATCTGCCCACATACAAGAGGAAATCACACAAGCTTTTTTTTTTTTTTTGCAAGTGGAACTACAGCTTACTGATCTATCTCACACCTGGAAGCTGTAAATGCCAGTTGCAATAGTTTTCTAATATGAATTGGATAGGGCAGCTACTCATTGTTATGCTTGAACACTACTGAACATATCAAGATATATAGACTGGATCTGACATCTTTATCCACCTATCAAGACCTGAGATAGGCAGTTGCTGTTTGATGATGTTAAATGTATTGTTGAAAGATGTTAGCTGTTCCACGTAAAGCTGCCTTTTGCAATTGACTGATGGTGATTTTTATTTCAATGCCAATTGTATTCAAGTGGTGCTCCAGTTGTTTTGGAACTACCATTGATACTAACATTTTATTTTATTTTTTGCCACAATCATTCTATTGCTATTTTCAGGTCTTTGTATTTTGTGATTTTCTCCAGTTCTTTCTCTTCTCCTGTCTCCAGGTACTGCCTTGTCTATTATCCAAACTTTCTAATCAAAAATTGTTGCGTCTACATTATTATCATCATCATTGTTCTTATTTTTAAAAGCTTCACACAATTCTATCTCATTTTATTTGTCTTCTATCCCATCTTCCTTTTACAACACAAAGCAATACAGGTAGCCCCTTCCCCTGCTTATTTCCCCACAAAATTTACCCTTGAAGTATTGCTAAGCAGCAAAAGTAATTATTTTAATTACTGGACTTTTGGCATTTCAGAGAATACCCACTAGCTTTGGCTACTAGGAATTGTAATTCTGTCTCCTCTTAAAGCTTTCCTAGTCTTGCTTTAAATATACCTGGACTACTGAAGTGATAATGATGATTCACCTACATCAGTAAACATTTCAGGGTTCATGCAGGACACTTTTAAAAATAATCAAACCAGTGCAGTATAAAAATACCATTTGGATATTTGTTTGACCATTCTCTCATAGATTACAAGCAACTTACAATCACTTAAATTGAGTTAAAAGAGAGAATTAAGTGATGAAGTAGATATCAATAGAGATTCTCAGTCATACAGGTCATGGTGGTCCCAAAGGTGCTTTTTCAAGAAGCAACTGGACTGCCTGGTTTTTCCTTTAAGATGTTTTGCTTCTTGTCCAAACTGAAGAAGTTTCTTGGATGAAAAATTCAAAGAAAAACAAGGAAGTTCAGTTGCCTCTTGAAAAACTATCTTTGGGTCAGGAAGTAGGTGTGTCCTCAGTAACTAAAAAGTTCAGGTTTTTTAACAAGACCAGGTCAGGACTATTGATAAAAGGACCAGAAAAGTAGACATATGGCAGGCAAATTATGCCTAGAAATGCAGTGATATGCCTTTCTGATGATATTAAATAATACCAGAAATTATTATCAGCTCAAAAATTCATCCAAGGATTGAATCCATGAGAAATTACTTAATGAAGAAATTTCAAGATATCTATATAAATAAAAATGTAAATGTTCGTTTGTTCAAAATCTTAAATCTCCAAAAGTTCTTTACCGATTGTTTTGAAATTTTGACACAATGTTGCATTTGAATACGCACGTGTTTTTATATTCCTATATGTTATCTGTGACAGGTAAAAACATGCTTTTTTGAAAACCGGTACCATCTGTTGGACGTAAAAGCAACACTCGCTATACTAAATATTTCACGATTCCATTTCAATGTTTCCGATTGCATCTGTTGGACGTAAAAGCAACACTCGCTATACTAAATATTTCACGATTCCATTTCAATGTTTCCGATTGCATTGTTACATTGAATTTTCATAGATTTTGATTTATTTCATTTTGATTTAATTATTTCATGTGACATTGCGTTGGAATTGAGCTGCGTCGTTTACCATAGCGTTCATTTAGTGAGTATAGTATATTCGGAACAGTTCGGTCTCTCTCCAGCTTTGTCCAGATGGTCCCTTTATATGTGTGGCTGGGCTGCGGCTGCACCCTTTTCCCTTTCCGCCCTTCCTCCGATGAGCTTATCCTTCTCCCAGTTGTCCATCCCTCGGCCTCCTCCCCCCGTCCAGCCTAGCGGAGCTCCAGAGGAGGTGGAGGCAGAGCGTCTCCTCAGCCTGGCCGGCCGCACATGCTCTCCACCCCCCCTCACAGCGAGCCAGCTACGGCCTCGCCAAAGTGGCTCCGACGGGGCGGCAACGGTGGTGTCAGCCTGAAGTGCAGCGGGGCTGGGGCAGCTGCTTGGTGCCCTGTGAGGCAGCGGCTGCAGTGTCGCCATCATCTCTGGATGGGGCTGCGGCCGGCGGGGGCTGCCTCACATCTGCGTCGCCAGGGACGGCTCCTTCCTCCTCCTGCTCCTCAGGGGACACTGGCCACCTTCTCTCCCCACTGCCGCTGAGGGAAGGCAGGTCAGGGGCGGCAGCTGCCTCCCCCTCCTCTCCTCCTCAACCTGGCAGGGCTGGTGCCTGAGGGAGGCATTGTCATCATGAGTGGTGGCAGCGGGCCTTCCTCCCACCGGCCCCAATGCAGCAGCAGTGGCAGCAGCAGCAGCGGCGGCAGTCTGACTCTGTGGCGGAGGCATGGGAGAGGAAGAAGATGGCACAGCCCATGATGCTGCCTCAGCGGGCTGGCAGTAGCAACAGCAGCGCCAGCTTGGAGGACTTCGCGCCCAGCCTGCTGGCCCAGCTGACGCTGCCTCCCCCAGTCTCCGCCACCGCCTCAGTCCCCTCCTGCCCTCCCGGGCACCTCCTCCACAGAGCCTGGCACTGCTCTCCCAGGGAGGAGGAGGCGTTGGGGGTTCAGAAGGTGCCCAGTTGAAGAAGAAGAGAGCCTTCCAGATCACCAGTGTGACCCCGGTGCACATCTCGGCCAGCCTCAGCTCCAACAACAGCATTGCCGAAGACACAGAGAGCTATGATGACCTGGACGAGTCACACACCAAGGACATCTCCTCCTCGGAGATCATGGATGTCTCACTCTCCTGGGAGAGCGAAAAATTGCCAAAAAGCAGCACACACATGCATACTGCAGCTGACAGGGCAATACCTCGCATGCCCTCAGAAATGGCTCCACATGCCACCCATGGCACACATGCCATAGTTTTGCCAACACGATGAGTTGAAACTGCAGGAACCTTAGATGAGAGTGACCATGTCATAGTAAAATTCAACATAATGTAAACACAAACAACTCAAGAAGCTTGGAAAAATATGACCATAAAATCCCAGACCAGCACAATACCACTGAAAAAGAAAAACAATAAAACCAAGAAGAAACCAGCATGGCTGCATCTGATCTCTCTGACAAATTAAAAGACAAAAAGAACAAGTACAAAAAATGGAAAGAGGGACACATAACTAAGGCAGATAGCCAGAATCTGCCAAGACGAAGTCAGGAAAGCAAAGGCTCAGAATGAAGACAAAAGTCAAAGATAATACAAAAAAGTTTCTTCAAACATATAAATAACAAGAAAAAAATCAAGGAAACGGTAAGTCCACTAAAAAGACAGCAAAGAAGTAAAAGGCAGCAGATAGAAAGCAGAGCTGCTTAACTCATTCTTTGCCATCGGTCTTCACCCAAAAAGAAACAATAGTCCAACCTACCAAAAACATAACTGTAAAAGACAAACTAGAAATAAAAGTTAAAATAAGCAAAAAAATAGTAAGAGAACATCTGTCTGATCTTGAGGAATACAAATCACCGGGACCTGATGGATTACATTCCAGAGTCATAAAGGATCTGGCAGATGTCATCTCAGAACCACTATATGACATCTTTCAAAAACCCTGGAGCACCGGGAACTACTAGAGGACTGGAAAGGAGCTGATGTGGTTCCCAATTTCACAAAAGGTAAAAAAAAACAGACCCAGGAAATTACAGACCAATCAGCCTAACATCAATACCTGGGAGGATACTGGAAAAGATAATTTAAAAAACCAGATCTGTCAACACTTAGAAACAAGTAAAGTAATAGCTAGCAGTCACCTTGGGTTTGTTAAAAACAGATAATGCCAAACCAATCTTATTTCATTCTTCAATATAGTGACTAAATTAGTAGACCAGCAAAATACTGTGTACATAATATACTTATACATCAGCAAGGCATTCAACAAAGTAGACACAACCTACTTGGTAAGCTACAAAAAAGTGGGACAGATAGCTTCACCACTAGATGGATTCACAACTGGCTGACAAACTGTACTCAGTGAGTAGTCCTTAAAGGTACTACATCTATGTGGAATAAGGTAAGCAGTTGGGTACCATAAGGTTCCATTTTAGGCGCAGTACTCTTTAATATTTTCATAAATGACTTATATGAGGAAATAGGAGGGAAACTTACCAAATTTGCAGATGATATTAAGCTGGCAGGAATAGCTAACAGAAGACTTGGGCCCTATCTAACAAAATGAAATTCAATGCAAAGAAAAGTAAAGTTCTACACTTAGGCAAGAAAAACTAAAAGTACACATATAGACTGGGTGAAACAAGACAACTGGGAGAAGGATTTTGAAAATTTAGTGGACAACCAGCTAAATATGAGCCAGCAGTGTGCAGTGGCAACCCAAAAATTCAATGCAATACTTAGCTGCATTAACAGAGGGATACAAGCAAGATAAAGTGAGGTGCTAATACCACTTTTAGCAAGACCCCCTGTGGTCCCATCTCCATACATGTGTGTACGACCCTCCCCAACCCCTCCATGCATACATACGTGTCTCCTGTATGCGCCCCAACCCCACGCATACGTGTCAGAGACCCCAAAATCAGCTGGCCCTAGTAGATTTCCCTGGTTGGGTTAAAGTTACAACCAAGTCGTCCGCAAATGCTCGTAATCTATATTCGTGATGCCTAACCTTAATTTCCTGTAAATCATCTGTAAATCATTTTATTCAGCAACAACTCCAGGGTTATAATAAACAATAATGGTGATAGGGGGCAACCCTGTCTTGTACCTTTCTCAATTTTAAAAGATTCTATTAAACTACCATTAACTATAAATTGTGCTGTTTGTTCCTGGTATATTGCTTTGATAGATTGTAAAAAATACTCTCCAATTTTCATCTTTTGCATTATTTTCATTAGAAATTGCCAATTCACTCGATCAAATGCTTTATCTGCCTCCAGAAATATAAGCGCTGCAGGGACTTGGTTATTCTTTCCCACATTCTCCCATATATTAACAATTTGTCTTACATTACTTCTCATTTGTCTCCCTTGTATGAACCCAGTTTGATCATTGTGGATCAGTTGCTGCGTAACTAACATCAACCTGTTTGCTAATATTTTGGCAAAAATTTTGTAATCTATGTTGAGTAATGATATAGGCCTATAATTTTTTGGCTGGCTAAGATCTTGATCTTCTTTGGGGATCAAGGATATAAAAGCTGTTCTCCAAGATGGAGGTACCTTTCCTTCCATTTGGATTCTGTTAAATAATTCCTTAAGAGGTTCTACCATTTCTAATTGTAAATTTTTATAGTAAACCGCTGTCAAGCCATCTGTGCCAGGTGCTTTCCCAGCCTTTAACTCTTTAATTACCTGGAGGATTTCCCCCAAAGTTATTGGTTGGTTCAATCTCTCCCTTTGCTTATCTTTAACTATAGGTATTTTTTCTTTGTCCAAATATTTATCTATATCTAAACCTTGTACTTTATCACTCGTGTACAATCCTGTGTAAAATTCTAAGAAGGCCTTTTGGATCATATCCTGTTGATACACATCTTTACCTTTATAATATATTTTTTGTATAATACGAGATTTTTGTTTCTTCCTCGTCATATATGCTAACCATCTGCCTTGTTTATTTGCATTGCAAAAAGTATTATGTTTAGCATATAACAAATTAGTAGCCACCTGATCTGATACCAACATATTAAATTGCGCTCGTAATAGGGTAATTGCCTCTTTTGTCTTCTTGTCACCTGGATTGGATAACTCCTGCTCTTTCTTTTTTATCTCTTCCTCTAGTTCCTTTCTTTTCCCCCCTGTCTATGTAACTTATTTAAATTTATTAGGACTCCTCTCCTCTGCTTGCATCCCAGACCATTTCCATAAATGTACCCTTGTTCATATTAAAAACAAAATATTCTCTCAGCAATTATTTATATTCATTGACATTTTTCTCATGTCTAAATAAATTTTCATTTAACCTCCAACTCCTTCTAGATTCCTTCCCATATTCCAATTCCATCCAGACCAGGTTATGATCTGTTAAGGCTCTGGAACATATCTTCATCTTCTTTACCTTAGAAAACAAATCATTTGTAGTTAGTATAAAGTCAATCTTAGAAAAAGATTGATATCTATCAGAAAAGAATGTAGTCCTGTTCTTTAACATTTCTTTCTCACCAGATATCTCTTAGCTCCAAATCGTCCATCATATCAAAGAAAGGCTTAGGTAATTTCGCTCGTGTTTGGATATTTTGCAAAAGACCCTTCTTATCTTTCTTGGTATCCAAAACTCCATTCCAATCACCCATTAGTATGCAGGATCTATAGTCCCATTGTATTGACTTGGTACGGAGCATCTTGTATAATTTTTCTTGTTGTTGATTAGGGGCATATACTCCCATTAAGAGTATCTTTTTCCCTTCTAATAATAGTGTCAGCATTCCAAGTATCATG